ATTCCCGTCCAATTTCATCACGTAGCACAGCAAGACCGCAAGAGAACAAAATGCATTTCCTGCCACGTTTTGGGAAACAGTAATCACTTTGAAACACTGCTCTCTAGTGGACAAAATGTGCAGCACCTGAGACCAACTACCTGAACATGTTTAAATGTGAAAAACATACACATAGGAAATAAAATTACATAACTGAAACAAAATCACTTAATAGCATTGCTACTGTAACAATAAAAGAAAACCAACACTTTGAAACAGTGCAATTATTTAACCAAAATTTACCACCCGGCTACATCCTCCCCTGCAACTAGTCAACGACCCCGGTGACTACTAAACCTCAACTAAACGAAAAGCTTCCTGCAACACTTTTTCAAACAGTGCTGTACCAAGACTTGTTAAAACCTGAGACACCACATCTGTGCTAACTGCTACAGCGTTGCAGGCTGATTTGGGCAAGTGAAATGGGTTTGAGTGTGACCCGGCTGTACTTCGCTTGCTTTTCCTAATCGCAGGAATGGGCGTTGAACCTTTGTTACACTCCACGTCATTACTTAAATTGGTCTCTGACCTGATGCAGTCGGCACCAGGGAAGTTAGTGAATCCAGAATCAGGAATAGTCCCCAAGTCTGAGCCTCTAGCAGTCACGTCAGGAAAACTTGGATCAGGCCCATCTGGCACCATACCATCTGCATGTGCTGTTAACATTGGAAGATTGTCCCTCTCAGACATATTCAATTCCTCTACAACAATAAAATCTGGTTCAGATGCCACCGACTCTTCCCCCTCCACTGGCTGATCATTGATCTGAATAGCTGTCTCAGTCCTGAGTGTTGGAACTTGGGCTGAACAGGGTCGTAATTCTGACCTATGAACCTTCTTTGTAGGCCCTCCTTCCAACGGTTCAACAGTGTGTGTGGTGTCTTTAATCTCCACTACCTTGTAAATAGTGGGACCCCAAGCATCCTGGATTTTGCGCCTCCCCAAAGATCTGTGGCGAAGAAACACCAATTGCCCAATGTTGACTGGGGGACAATAGACCTTTTTGTTTTGAAAAGAAATCCGTTCTGCTGCTTTTTGCTCAGAGTACTCCCTTGCTCGTTTGTGGGCCTCTTTGAGTCTGTCTTGATGAATAGAGAGCCAGTTCTGACTGTTTTCTGACACACACTCTCGGCCCAACAGTGCATCAACTGGAAGGCGGGGCTCAACACCAAACAAAAGATAATAGGGAGAATACCCAGTTGTTGAATGAGGGGTGACATTATAAGCATAGACAAGCTCAGGTAGATATTCTGGCCACCTTCTCTTCTTTTCAGGTGGAAGCGTCCTCAGTAAATCATGGAGTGTCCTATTATATCTTTCACACTGAGCATTTCCTTGCGGTCGGTACGGAGTTGTCCTGCTCTTTTTTACACCATACAACTTGCAAAGTTCTGCTATGACCTCACTTTCAAAATTCCTCCCTTGATCTGAATGGAGTCTTTCTGGCACTCCATACTTCATGAACCATTCTCTAAGCAAAACCTTAGCTGTGGTGTCAGCTTTCTGGTCTTTAGTAGGAAAGGCTTGTGTGAACTTTGTGAACACATCGGTCACAATCAACACATTTTCTCGCCCATCTGATGCTGGCTCAAGGACTGTAAAGTCCACAGCAACGACCTCTAACGGTCTGGATGCTAGAAAAGCTTGGACTGGGGCATGAATCTTGGGTTGTGGCATCTTAGACAAGACACATCTTTCACAGTTTTTAACCCAGTTCTCCACATCTTCATATAAACCTACCCAAAAACACCTCCCTCTGAGCAGGTTCACAGTGCGCTCAATCCCTTGGTGTCCCATTTTGTTATGGACACTCTCCAGTACCTGGTCTTTGAGACAAACGGGTAAAAGTAACTGCCAGATTGACCCAGAGGGTGCTTCTGGGACAACCCTGTACAACAAACCTTCCTTCTCCTGAATAAGGCTCCACTGTTTTAGGAGTCGTTTCACCAGGCTAGATAGAGTTGACCTTTCCTTGGGGCTAGGTTTCCTTCCACGATCCCAAAAAGCTCTGAAACCTGTGATAGTGGGGTCATTGCTCTGAAATGCTAATA